GGAACTTTAAAAAAAAGGGAAACATCTATCCCTTGCTCGTGATATGAACCTATTTAATGCAGTAACCCAACCTGCCAATTTTTGCACCTCTTTCTTACTCCTAGGTGTAACTATGGATGCAAGGCCTGTATTTTGTCTGGATTGGCCTTTATCCCTGTGCATGATCATAAAGCTCAAGAACTTTCCTGAGGCTACCTTGAATGCATATTTTGCCAAGGTTAAGTTCATCTTATACTTTCAAAGGGTACTAAATACCTCTTCAAGATCAAAGATATGTTGGCCCAACTGTCTAATCTTGATTACCATATCATAAATATAGGTCTCAATATTTTTCCCAATCAAATTAGCAAAGACCTTGTTGATGAATCTTTGATATGTTGCCCCAACGTTCTTCAAACGAAATGACATGACCTGGTAACAGTATATGGTAGAGTCAACTATGAAGGACGTATTTTCTTGATCTTCCTCAAGCACGAGGATTTGATGATAGCTAGAAAATGTACTAAGGAAGCTGTATAATTATGTCTAAATGTATAGTTGACGAGGTTGTCAATCCGAGGTAGTAGATAGTCATCCTTAGGTAATGTATTGTTAAGATATGTGAAGTTAATATAAACTCTCCATTTACCGTTAGCCTTTTTTTAAAAGAACAACATTGGCAAGCCAACCTAGGTATTGAACTTCCCGAATAAATCGAGTAATTACAAGTTTACCTATCTTTCTACGAATGACCTCTCGACGCTCTGGTGCAAATTAATTGTCTCTTCTTTTGTTTGATTGGTTTAGCCCATGAGCTAGCATTGAGTTTGTGGACTACAACCTCGTGATCATCTTAGGCATATCCTCAACCTTCCATGCGAATACATCAATGTTATGAAACAAGAAGCTTATAAGTTCAGCCATGAGGCCAACATCGAGATCCAGACCAATAGTCACTTTTTTATCACGCTTGAGCTCGACCTTTATTAATTCTTCCATTGGAGCATGTCTTCCCCCCTGCTCGACATCAGGCTCGGATGTTGAAAGTTGCATGACCTTAGTGCTTATTCCTTGAACACTAGTAACATAGCACTGTCTAGAAGCTATCTAGTCTCCATGCACGTCTCCTATACCATTACTTGTAGGAAACATCATAGCAAGATGGAAGGTGGATACAATAGCCTTGATCTTGTTAAACAATGGTCTTCTTAGGATAGCGTTATAAGCCATCGAAGAATGAACTACTTGGGAAGATATGATTTCTATCACCTACCCCTAATTAGAACTCAAGGTAAGAGGAAGCTTAACCACCCCTTGTGGGATGATGAATCCACCCACAATTTTTTGAAAATGAGTTTTAACTTTTTTAGCTCTTCAATCTAAATTCCCATCTTAATGAGAGCCTCATGACAGAGTATGTTTGTTGCACTTCCATTGTCAATTAAGATCCTTCTCACTTTAAAGTTAGCTACAATCGTGAAAATGATCACGACATCATCATGAGGAGATGATATATGTTCGCTGAGAAAGTGCAAATCGTAAGTGCATGGATCGCGTTCAAATAATAAAATGGACCTTTTGAGTTTAAATTGTCGATCCCTTGAGCAATGTATACTTGCGATTACACAATTTTAATTAATTTAATTCTAACAATAAAAAAAACAAACAAACAATAAAGATTTAATTTTGGAAATAAGGAAAATCAACTAAAAATCTACAAAACAAGAAAACATGAACATTTGGAAATTTTGGAGGAAAATGTGTTTGGGATTCATGATTTATTTTAACCGTTGCCTAATCAATTTCTTCACAAGTCAATTAACAAATTACTCATTTACGATATTAGACCTAATCTTCTAATTTTAGCTAATTACCTCTTTCGAGCGAAGTTAACCTTAATTGGTTGATTTAATCAATTTTAACTAATTGCACGTCATGTCTTTCAACTTTTATCTTGTACAATTTGGTCCTCATATTTTGACTTTTATATCAATTTTGTTGTCCATAAATTGCATCTCAAGTCCTCCACTTCTGTCCTTGTGCATTTTGGTCCCCTAATTTACAATTTTGGTCATTTTCTCCTCGTTTTTGCCTTGTTCTATGTCCTTGGGTGATTTTTGCCGATAAAATCACAAATTACACAATTGTGAGTAGAAATTCACTTATTTAATCAATAATAAGTTTAGCTTAAGTATTAAATAAGTGTTTAAGAATACACTTATCAATATACCTTCCATGTCCTTTGACCCAAATGTAATGTTTATCATAAATTGTCCATGAAGTTGAGGATAATACTGGACATATTGGTTACATCAACTATTCGAGTCTCCTCTTGAGGTTATGTCCATGATAATAATATTATAATTCATCTATACGTTGACCACTGTTTCTTACCTCAGGGGCTTTTTCCTTATCAAGATTGTTCTTCAGCCATTTGTCATGACTAACATATGTACCCAAGAATCATCTTCCGATTAAAACTTAAATCTCCCATTGCAAGGCTTCGCAATTCTTCGTAGTATGCCCATGGTCCCAATGAAAGTCTTGAAGACCATTTGCTCTCCTTCATATCCTTGATCTCCATCAGGATGTTGGTCTTAGAAATATTCAACCTGGTGAATGATGTCGATGGTATCTCTTGTCTCTATTTAATTTGAGGAATTTCTTGTTTGGGATTTGAATCATGCTAATTTTTATGCTCAGTTCTTTCATAGATCGGGCCAATTTTCCTTGAATTCAATGTCTCCTCTATGTTAATGTATTTTTTCACCTCAGGACAGGAACTCGATCACTAATTTTGACAGAGTTTTTGATAAAGGCATTTTGAATGCCTCACACTTTATGACATCTGTGAGAGCAGAGAGTTGATGTGATATGTTAGTCGAGTATTTGGACAAATTCTTTGTTAAAGCTGGTTATGAAATCACGTAGGGATTCATTCTACCCTTAGCGAAGTTGCATAAGGAAACAACAATCTTCTTGATGTGTTTATGACTTGCGATGAAAGCAAAAAACTTGTTGGCCAAATACGAGAATAAAGTAATGGAATAGGGCTATAAGATAGAGAACCAATCTCTGACAACATTAGTTAAAGTTTACGGAGAAGCTTTACACATTACTGGCTTTGGCGCAGCTCACAAATTCATGGTGTCGATATACACATTGAGATGGTTAATCAGGGTTGGTAGTCCCATCGCACTCTTTTATAAGAGGATACTTAAATCTGTCCGATAAGGGATATGACAAGTTCTGGTAAGTGAATGGAATGTTAGGGATGAAATCAATTGACCTCTGTGTGTTTTGAAGCAGACCTACTGTAATCCCTTCCTGAATGATCTAGACAAGTTTACTCAGTCCATAGCAACTGATCTAGAGGCCGAAGTATGACATATGCCCAAGGTCCTGACACCAATATCAAAACAAGGCGAGGCACTCGAGCTCGAGCATCGGCCATAAAACTTCCTTAGGGTGCCAACGTTGGATGTGGATTTCTTTGACTTAGCAATTGAGTTAGTATTGGAACTTGTTACGGAGATCTTTGAGAGCAACAACTTTTGGTTGAGGGTTGGTATTCTTGATGATTCCTCCTGCTGCACCGAAGGATCTTCAACGGGGTTGTTCGAAACATGTGTTAACCATGGATTTTGGTAGCACTTTCCACAGATGGCGCCAATAATGCTACTAAAAATCATATCTATTGATTTTTTATGTTTAAGTTAGACAAAAAATTTATGTGTGAGGTTATAAATGAAAATTTTTGTGTAAGTGTGCTCGAATAATAAATTGAGGTCTTATATTTATAAAGACGGGTAGTATACCCTTAGTAGGATTAATTAATGCACTTCTAGTGGAATAAATTAATTGAGCATCTTTATTTGATTTGAGAGTTGTGAGACAGGGTATTTAGATAAAAATGAACTCTAATGGTAGAATCCTACCAATACAAGATGAAAGAGGTATAGTAGGACTTTATATAATTAGAATTAGATAAGCCTTATCTTATGGAAGAGTCCTAACAGATTAGGTATCGTTAAGAGTAAGGTCAAGGTATAGCCTTGAGGAGACCTCAAACTGAAGGGCCAAGGAGATAGGCCGACGAGACCGGTTTAGGGATTACCATTAGCAAACTCGAGGTGTACCTTTCTTAAGGTGCTAGCCCCATGAGCCTATAGATAATATCACAAAAATGGGCAATATTCGTCCTCCGAAAAGCATGCTCGATCATGACGATTTTGTCCATATCAGTGGGTAATATTGGTGATTTTCAAGTGTTTGGTGGTGTTGAGTGGAGATGACAATGATGGTGCACATCAATGGGATGGGGTTTGCGTTATGCCGAAGATGATACTTTGTGTTTTCTTTTCTTTCTTTGTTTTTTATCCATCTTCCAAACTATAAATATTTGGAGTATCCTACTTTCATGCAATTCACAGGGGTCAACAAGCAATCGATATTTCACGATCCTTTTGGGATGACAAAATTATTTCCATCCCTGTCGTGCAGTAGGCTGCCCCACACCTATCTTGTATAGTGCCTTTTTATAAGACTTTTATTTGAATCACATTATCTAAAAGTTCATTTATTGTAAAACTCATTTTCAAACGCACATTTACCTAGTAAAATAATTTTGCACATAAACCTAAAACACTTTTATACTTATTAAGCACACATTTTTTTAAAAAAAAAAAACTTAAAAAATGGCTCAAACATAAGCATAATGTTTAAGAATTTAAATCGTATTTAAAAGATAATTAAATATTAAGTAATTAACATTAATCATACATTTTATGAGATTCATAATTTTTCTCAACTTTTCACATACATTTTATTTATTTTTATCAAAATTTATTTAAAATCTACGTTTTAACAAAATCAAACCGAGACAAAATTAATAATCAAATAGGGGTGGGGCCGGGGAGGTTAAAGAAAGAATTATACTCTTTAACGATAAGATCATATTGACTGATAATGACAGGCATAGGTTTTAACATTGGGGATTTGAGGACTTTCACTATCATGGTGATAAAGATTGGGGACTCAGCTGGAATTTACCCAAAAGTCGATGCTCTAATGGAACCCAACCTAGTTTGCCAGTCCTAACTCCTGAACCTAGTGGACATTTCTTTTGAAAAAATCCCCTCTTTCAACTTCGAATCGGGCTTCTCTTCCTCCCCGATTAAAAATAACTTTAATTGTTAGCATTGAGTTGATTGACTTGTTTTGACTTGAATCGTGAATCATCCATCATTGATGAGGAAAAGAGAGAGAGAGAATCCGTGTGGGGTTTGTGGGCATTACCACAAGTACGAGGAAGGCGAGGTCTGCGGCATCTGTGGCCACCGCATGCCATCCGGCTCCGATAATTCCGCAGCCTCTTCGACACAAGTCAGCGCCTTTCCCTCCGAGATCCTGCCGGAGTTCCTCTACTTGGGCAGCTACGATAACGCCTCCCGTGCTGAGCTTCTCAAGACCCAGGGTGTCTCGCGTGTCCTCAATGTAATTTCACTCTTTGTCTACATCATTGTTGTTTACTTGGTTAATTTTGTTGAGTTGATCAAGGTCAAGCTTCAATTTGGTTAATCTTAGTACTCTGTGTGGTGAATTCATATGGGAAAATAGTACTTCGACGGTTAGTTTAACTGCCACCAACACGGGGATGGATGTTTTTCGAGGTGAAAGGCCAAGAAAAAGCATTTCTGGCTAAATTTAGGGAAAAATTCTGAGGAAAATGGAAAAATAAATGTTTTACCTTCTTACCTATTCAAGGGATCATATGTAGAATTGGTGCTTTGTCTTTTACCCTTTCGTTATGAGTTGCTAATATTAGTATCTTAACTTTCCTATCTTGCATTTACCACCAATTTGCTGCAACTTAGTTGATCATTGCGAAATGAAACCTTTGTGTATTTATATTGGCAAAACTTGGCCTATCTGCAGACAGTTCCTGCTTGTCAAAATCTTTACAAGAACTCTTTTACCTACCATTGCCTTCAAGATGACCAAAAATTGGCATTTGATGATGCGATCAAGTTTCTTGGTGAGTCTTTATTTATTTATTTATTTATTTATTTCATTTTTCCTTGCATTCTAGAATCCATCTGGGAATTACTCTTCTTTCTTTAGAAGATTGTGCTACAGCTTCCAGTGGCATTTTATATGCATGGTACCTTCATTCATGTCATGACTATGCGAATGGAGACTATGCAGTCTTTGTTTAAACTCTTCTTTTTGTGCATCTTTCTTTAACACTCTTGGGTGAAGATCTGTTGGTAAGCTTCATAATCCTTAATAATGAATGGATAAGTTTCTCCTACCTCCTTGCTAAGCTAACAAAATATTGGTAAAAGAAAGATCTTTAGTTTCTATTCACTAATTATTTTTTTGTCAAGTGAAATTATGTATCAGTATTGTTGTGGGCTATGTTTTAACATTAATCAGAGAGTAAAATGGGAAATCAACAATAATTTCAAATAGTTCCTAGTTATATAACTCAAAATAAATATTGAACTGAAAAACATATAAAAAAAAATTTGAAATATTGTATTTGTCTTTCAAAATAAGTACTTTCTAACATTGAAACGTAATAATCTTGTTTCGTGATAAATACTTTATTTTCCTGAAATGTTTTGAACTAAAGTTTGCTTATTGCCTTCTATAATATAATACCCTTGAAGAAAATAGTACTATAATTCATTGGAGGAAAGGAAAATCTTTTCCAAAATTCAAACTTGTCTACCCTCATGTCTTGTGCCCCATCAGGCCATCACCATTTAAATTGACTACCTTCCCCTCTTATCGCTGCACCTATCCCTGTCCCTTAAATTGCTACCACCTCATACCACGGTCATGACTGCCATCAGTAAACCTGGTTCTATCCATAATGAGACCTCTCGCATCTTTACTATTAAATCCTTAATTGCCACTTGAAGTGGTAATTATTGTAATTGTAATTGTTTTAGTTTTAGTATTTTTTAATCATAATTTATAATGAATCATGGGTATGTGAACAGTGAATGCAGTCATTTTAATATCATTAATGACAATTTAGCTGGACATAATTAGTAGCTTCATGAATATTGCATACTTTGATTTGATTTGTTTTGTTTTGAGGCTTATTTTGGTGAGATCATTTGTGCAGAACAATGCGAAATAGACAGGGCACGGGTTCTTGTGCACTGCATGTCAGGGAAGAGCAGGTGAAAAGTTTTACCACTAGTTGAAGCTCTTGTGATTAAATTTAATTAAATTGATTGGCATTGTTCTTTTGGAGGGGATTTCAAAGTGAAGTGGAAAGAAAAAATGTTGGATTTTGAGATTTTGGGTCGTTGTTTGCTTGTATACTTGACAAACTCCAATTAACATGCTGACATATGGTTTATCTACCATTGAAGTGAAGGACTGTGGTAGTCTATGATTTAACAACAATTCAGTACAAATAAGCCTATTCAATTATAAGGCCTCTTCTTGGATTTACTATATTTCTTTAAAATTGATGTTTTGATCGATTGTAATTTCATGGTTTAAAAAACAATTTGAGGCTTACACCTCAAATTCCGTCTCACATGAGACTATCATAAAATTCCTTAAATTAAATGCCATTTGTGAGGCTTACACCTCAAGCCCGTGCCTCATTCCAACTAAGGTGTTCATCCTTACGCCTTGCATTTCATTGGCCTTAGCCTTTCGAGTTATTACTTTATAAATGTATTACGGGTTTCTAAATTTTTTTTTTCTATTTGCATGGAAGGAAAATGAGAAGGATAATACACCATTGCAATTTGAGGATGATCATAAGGAATGAAAAGACATTTATAATGAGAATGATGACAATGATGTTAATGATTCTCTAATAAATCATGTTAGTACCGATGATATAAGAAATTTTTTATTTGTCTCCACTTTTAGTAATATACTATAATTTTTTTACATGATTTTGCCAACTTTATTAATTATTATTGGTTTTGTTAATTAGTATTATTATAGTTTTTAAAAAGGGTTTATGGTATATTATGAGCACATTTTTGTAATATTATATCCTTTCGAATTCTTTTATTGTTTTATCTTGAAGCTTACGCACCAATGCGCCTTGAGGCTCACTCATCACCTCACAGAGATAAAATGCCTTAATACCCAATTAAGCCTTTTTAAACATTGTTTCCGTGAATATCATAAAATACTCTGAAGTGTGTATGGCATTTTGGAAGGTCGCCAGCTATAGTTATGGCTTACTTGATGAAAAGCAAAGGTTGGAAACTTGCACAAAGTTACCAATGGGTGAAAGAGCGGAGACCTTCAGTTGAACTAACTCAAGGTTCATACCAACTTTGCCTTGTTAATTTATATCATTAAAAGTGTGCATGTGCTTTTTTATTGTCCCGTGCTTAATTTTATGTCAAACAAGAATATTAAAGGTGGATAAACGAGAGTTGATAAGATAAATGTCAATTAAGTCGCTGTAACAAGAGCTATGTAGAGTGCAAAGTTTTTGGAAACAAAAAATGCATGTCACTGTTACGAAATAGAGTAAATATCAGTGACAACTCCCATGCCTGGGGTGGTTAAACTATTACAGTGATACCAATCCATTATGTTTTTTAAAAATTACAGAAACCTCCCCAGAGGGGTGTTTTCTATAACATTTTCCCCCAGTAAGCCCAAAACAACTACGTGACTCCCCATCTATGTTTTCTTATGGTAGCTGATGCATTTTAGCCATGAATAAACTTAACCAAGAATTTTTGTTGAAGTTTCAATAATTTTGCAATGTTTGTATGATGTTCACGATTATTGCGACCTCAGTTGACAGTTCTGCCTTAAAAAATGATCTCCGATTCTGCTTGAATGTCTTGACATCTAGGATGGATAGTGTTTAGAAGAAAGTTGCTAATCTTTAGTACCTGCACATGGTCATTCCGAAATGGTGCGGTTTCATATCTGACATTTGGTTTCTCATTTATGATTTGTAGCGGTCTACCAGCAATTACAGGAATATGAACAAAAGATTTTCAGTTCAACAGAGAACAGAGTTTCCATGCCGAGCTTCTCGCCCCCAAGCCTGCCATCCTTCAGTTTTGGCTTCCCAAAGCCTAATAATCCACCTGTTCCTGTTTTCAATAACAGTGGTGCCACTTCATTCTTTTCCCACCAACCGTTGGATGTTCCTCAGGAATTCAGCTTCGGAGCAGGGCAAGCACAGAAAAACACTTCCGATGATGTTACCACTTATGGCTCAAACACAAATATCTCTAACGTTAATGATGCTCCCATGGGTGGTCCCTGATAAACTTAGGTTTCATCTTTTTATACCTCTGTACAGTAGCCAGTCCGAAGTCAAATATTTCTCGACCACCAGTTTTTTACATGAAGTTGATCGAAAGAGGAAATTCCTTTTAGATTATGGCTGTAACTGTGACACAGGAGTTTGATAGGTGCTGTTGATCTAGTATGTATGTTGATCCCAGTATATTGATGTTCATTTCTGAGGTTATTACATTCAGATTTATTGATATGTTCTCTCTGCTGATTTATTGGTAGATTTGTGTGCTCTTCCACCAATTATCTCATTTTGTTATATTGTATTATGCGGTTGCGAAAATTTGAAGGCACGTCAACCTAGTAAGAAACTAAACCTGATAACTCTCTTTGCATGCGTTTTGATTATATTTTTATTGGCTTATTTTGTCCGAGGAAAAATGGGAAAAGGCACATTTTTCTGGGACAATCATAAGTGTTTCAAAGGGAGTATCGGTCACACGTGCATTTTTAATGTATGGGACAATGAATTAAGGGGCTCAATATCAAACGATGATAATCACTACCTTATTATTAAGCAAAGGGAAAAATTTATAATCACCACAGTTCTAAGATACAATATCAAATTTAGGAAACTTGATGCAGTTTTTTTTTTTTTTTAAAAATAGGTGGTTATATTTTGTGAGCTTTGATAAAATTTTGAGACAAATTTAATCAAATAGGTAATGATCACAAGAGCAAATACAACTCATGATCATGATCATATATTAATCACAAATCATATAAATCATGGTCGCAAAAATACATTTTATGGTTCACGGTTCTGTATTTTAGTCATGGATTGCACATTTTGTGGGTTACAAATTACTCAATTAACTGAATATAATTACCTTTCATCTCATATGCCCCATTCTATCCCACTATACTCCATTGGCACCACTCAAATCATTGTTGCCGCCTCCTACAATCCCTCACCCCCACCACATCCAATGCACCACTACCACCATTTGCACCTCAATCAACCACCACATCATCTCAACCTTCAGTTTGCCACCACTGCCATTTACAGCCCTACAATTTTTGCCGCCAAGAGCCACTGCATGAGTCCAAAAAAACCTCTTTCATATAGACACGCTCCGAAAATTGTAGAGATTACCCTCAACAAAACTCACCAATCCCACTATCGCTACCACCTAACCCCAAACAATACTAGTTTGTCAACTACACCAATGGAAGCCGGATGAAGTTTGGTGGCGGGCGACTTTGAGATTAGATTTCCAGTTCTGTAGCCACAAATCAAAGTCTTCCTTCATGTGAAGAGTTGGACACTGTTATGAACACATCATATGTACAAGTAGCATAATCCTAAATCTATTGGCTTTTGAATTTAAGAAATATTGAGTTGGGGAATGGGGTGATGTGAAGTGGGGTGGAGTACCATACCTATTTTTTAAATAATAAATATAAATTCTGATATCTGAAATGGTAACTTGAACAAAATGTAATTTGGTAAATGATAATTAGCACAAAACATTCAATCATAAGTGTTTCAAAGGGAGTATCGGTCACACGTGCATTTTTAATGTATGGGACAATGAATTAAGGGGCTCAATATCAAACGATGATAATCACTACCTTATTATTAAGCAAAGGGAAAAATTTATAATCACCACAGTTCTAAGATACAATATCAAATTTAGGAAACTTGATGCAGTTTTTTTTTTTTAAAAAAAATAGGTGGTTATATTTTGTGAGCTTTGATAAAATTTTGAGACAAATTTAATCAAATAGGTAATGATCACAAGAGCAAATACAACTCATGATCATGATCATATATTAATCACAAATCATATAAATCATGGTCGCAAAAATACATTTTATGGTTCACGGTTCTGTATTTTAGTCATGGATTGCACATTTTGTGGGTTACAAATTACTCAATTAACTGAATATAATTACCTTTCATCTCATATGCCCCATTCTATCCCACTATACTCCATTGGCACCACTCAAATCATTGTTGCCGCCTCCTACAATCCCTCACCCCCACCACATCCAATGCACCACTACCACCATTTGCACCTCAATCAACCACCACATCATCTCAACCTTCAGTTTGCCACCACTGCCATTTACAGCCCTACAATTTTTGCCGCCAAGAGCCACTGCATGAGTCCAAAAAAACCTCTTTCATATAGACACGCTCCGAAAATTGTAGAGATTACCCTCAACAAAACTCACCAATCCCACTATCGCTACCACCTAACCCCAAACAATACTAGTTTGTCAACTACACCAATGGAAGCCGGATGAAGTTTGGTGGCGGGCGACTTTGAGATTAGATTTCCAGTTCTGTAGCCACAAATCAAGGTCTTCCTTCATGTGAAGAGTTGGACACTGTTATGAACACATCATATGTACAAGTAGCATAATCCTAAATCTATTGGCTTTTGAATTTAAGAAATATTGAGTTGGGGAATGGGGTGATGTGAAGTGGGGTGGAGTACCATACCTATTTTTTAAATAATAAATATAAATTCTGATATCTGAAATGGTAACTTGAACAAAATGTAATTTGGTAAATGATAATTAGCACAAAACATTCTTACTTTTTAATGTTATTGTACAAAATGTTATTATCTTTTATTTTTGGCATTTTAAGTTCACCTTTCATTGTCGAAAATGCCATTTTCATCCTATTTCTCAATAAAAAATGTAAAATGATAAATACACCCTTTTATTTAAATAAAACAAAAAAGGAAAAGAATAAATAAAGAACAAATTGCTATTATACTTTCACACTTTTTAAAAAATTGCAAATGAATCCAAATAAATTATTAAAAGAGTAATTAGCATAAAACGTCATTACCTTTCAATATTATTGTGCAAAACGTCCATACTTTTTCATTTTTAACATTTTCACCCTTATTTTCATATTACATTGCGAAAATTATCATTTTCGTTCATTTCTGAATTAAAAGCTATAAAATAAAGAATATATTCTCATATTTAAATAAAATAAAAATAAAGAACAAATTGCAACTATATTATCAAAATTTTCAAAAAAATAAAAATAAATTCCAAATAATTAATTAAAAAATGAAAGTGACTTTTTAAATTTTTTGTTTTTAATTATTTATTTCAAATTTACTTGTACCTTTTTTTAAAAAAATTGTTCTTTTCTTTGTTTTTATTTTATTCAATAGGAGGGTATATTCATCATTTTATATCTTTAATTAAAAAAATGGATGAAAAATGATGATTTCTACAATGAAATATGAAAATAAGGGCGAAAATGTCAAAAATGAAAGGTTAGGACATTTTACACAATAATATTGAAAGGTATGGACGTTTGTACTAATTACTCTTTAATTAATTTATTTAGACTCATTTGTATATTTTTTAAATGTTTGGGAATATAATAGTAATTTGTTCTTTAATTTTTTATTTTATTTTATTTTTTAAATTTGATTTAAATAGAAAGGTATATCTGTCATTTTGCATTTTTTTTATTGAGAAATTTGATGAAAATGACATTTTCGCAATGAAATGTGAAAATTAGGAGTGAAAATGCAAAAAAAAAAAAAAAACTACATTTTGTACAATAACATTGAAAAGTAAGAACATTTCATCCTAATTACCTTTTGACAAATTATGCTCGACTCCTAGTAGGCCAATCCACAAGGCAATTGGGTGAACAGATTGCAGACTCCATAATTAGGGGTGGGAATGGGTTGGGTTGGGTCGATTTTTTCCCCAACCCAAACCCCACCCAATATGGTCGATTTTATTTAAAGTCAACCCAACCCAACCCAATTAATGGTTTAAACCCAACCCAACCCGATCAAATTTGGGTTGGTTTGCGTTGGGTTGGTCGGTTTGGGCTTTGGTCCAATTAAAGTTGGATTTGATTATATTTTTGTTAAATTTAGATAAATTTTTAAAGCTTGAAATTACTTGAAAATCTATGATTTTTTTATTTTTCTTAATACCTATGTAAGGAATTCTTTTTGAAAAATGATGTATAAATAAGTTTAAAATTTATGAAGTATTTATTATTATTTTTTTTTTATTTTTTTTACAAATTTTTGGGATTTATTCATTTCATCATCATCTTCTTAATTTTTACTTTATTATGAAATAACATTTCATTTGTAAATTGTGTTAATAGGAATCAATCTATATAAAAAAAGGACGTTTATAAATTATAAGTTCTTTTCATATCTCTATTATTGTGTTTATTTAGGGTTTTTTTTCATCTTAGATATATTTTTTTTTAATTCATCGGGTTGGGTTGGGTTGGGTTTTAAATCATAACCCGAAATCCAATCCAACCCAATCTCAAATATATTTTTTCAACTCAACCCAATCCAATTGAACTTAAAAAATCAACCCAAACCGAGGATTGATCAGGTTGAGCGGGTTGGATTGGATTTTGCCCAGCCCTATATATAATGGGCCTAGTGTTGCCATGGCTGCTCATGGACCGTATGAGCCCATGGTCAATTCAGCCTGTTGAGATAGATATTGGATTCCAGATGGCAATTGGGAATCCATTCTACAGATTTAGATGACACACGTTTAGAGGTGGAGTCGGATATTCTTTATTATGGGATTAAATATTAAGATAAAAAAATTTCAAGTAATATAATATTGATGAAAACATTAGAATACAGTGATACAAAAGTTATCTACTCGTTTTTATATTTTGAAAACCTTGTATAATTACATAATTATAATATTATCAAATGCATCGATGTCAATATACATGATTAGATTATCACTCTATCATCGATCTTCAATTCAATTTATAGTTGATTTTTGACAATCTTTATTGCAGGAAATACTCTTTACACTACACGAAGAATTAATGCAAATGTTATATGCCTATTAAAGTGATTGTACACTACTTTCTTCGGTCACAATTAAGTTTTGTGCAAGATCACCAAAGATTTGTAATCCTTCACTTTTTATTATTTTTATTTTTTTTGAGAGTTAACAAATCAATAATTTTTCATCAAGTGTCAAGATCTCAACTATGTAAAAGCTTAGGATAACACTTACACAATCGAAATAATTATTAAAAGCTTAGGATAACACTTACACTTACATGAGTAAGTCGCTATTTTCCTGCGAAATTGATCATTAACTCTTCAAATTTCATATTGATGACAACATAAAAGAATTCCACATTGAAATGATGCAAATTTATCACAAAATAAAAGAATTCCACATTGAAATGATGCAAATTTATCTTCCTTGAGTGTTACTTGTTGAACGA